TATGGGGGAGGGGGTAGTCTGTTGTCTGTGTGTATGGGGGAGGGGGTAGTCTGTTATCTGTGTGTATATGGGGGAGGGGGTAGTCTGTTGTCTGTGTATATGGGGGAGGGGGTAGTCTGTTGTCTGTGGGGGGGGGGACGAGGGGGGAAGCCGTGATAATCAGAGCCAAACCATAACCTTCCATCAAAGCGTCATTGTCTAGTGCTCGGAGCTAACCTATCTGGAGGACACCCACACACACACCGACATACACCCCATGACAACAACAACCACTAGACGATCACTAGCATTTGTCATAATGCCCTTGACAGGACCCTGAGGAGTTGCTCTAATCAGAGAGTAGATGTTGTTTTTCAGCATATATATAAAATTTTAGGTTAGAAGAGTTGGAAAAATAGTACAGGGAACTTCCCATAGTGTTATCAACTTACATAACTAGAGTACAAGATCAGCCCTAGAGCCCCACACATGTTATATCTCAGCCCTGCCTGGGCACTTCTGCAGAGGTTTGGTCAGGGCTTTTGTAGAGGGCTCCTGAGTAAGCACCCTGGTGCTCAGAATGATGTTGTGTATTTTGGGCAAGAATGCCACAGGAGTGGTAGGATCCTGTTCATGGATCAGATTAGGGGCACGCGTGCCAGGATATCTCATTATTAGTTGAGTTATCCCCTTCTTCAGGTGTGCTCTGTCAGCCTTTTTCACTCAGCACTGTTTCCATTGTAATTAGCACACACACTGGCAGAGATGCTTTGAGACTGGGAAAATCCTAGTTTTCCTCTTGCTCCCACCCACCGATGCTAGCTGGCTCTGGTGTATCTTGCTCACTGTGGTGTGGTTATGCTGTTCTGAAGTGAAGGTAGTTGGGATTTTAGAGCCACGTGGAGGAAGACCATCACCCAGCTAAGCTACTGGAAAGAGATTTCAAGAGCACCTCTATAGCTGAGCTTTCTTTGGACCATCAGCTCCCGAATAATGATACTGAGACTTCTTATTAATTATGAAAGCTTGGCCTTAGCTTAAGCTTGTTCCCGAATAACTCCTAAAATTTAAATTAACCCATTTATATTAATCTACGTTCTCAATCCACATGGCTCAATACCTCTCCTCCCTACTGTATGCCTGACTTCCTCCGAGTCTTGCTGGCAAATCTCCCACCTCAGATTCTTTCCCTGAGTTCTTGTCTCTGCCTGGAAGTTCTGCCTATCCTTTCCTGCCTAGCTATTGGCCATTCAGCTCTTTATTAAGCCAATCAGAAGGTGCCTTAGACAGATGAGATAGAGACAGAGATACATCTTCCCACAGTGTACAAAAAGATTACCCCAACACTCCTCTTTCAGCCTGTAGCGCTCACTTCTTGCCAGATGACTAAGACCTACTTGGTCTCTCCTCTTCAGGAAACAGAGATCCTCCACCTTCACCCTCAACAGGGCAAAAGATGACTCCTATTACCTAGGAACACTCAGGGCCAGAGATGACAAGATGCCCTGTCCTTGTGGCAGTGACATACGTCTGCGGACTGATTTACCTTGTGGACTAGAGGAGAGCTATTTCTGGACAGGGGAAATCTGGTAATTTTTTTTCTTGACCATAGGAAGGAAGACGATCTCCATGGTTCTTTATTTATTAGTCTGAAGCGCCTACCCCTTGTCATTTACCAGCTTATGTTCCCAAGTGTGACTCGGGAACCAGAAGGTACATTCAGTGCTTGACTTCATGTTGTTGGTGAATTTATTGGCTCAGATTTTGTAATAACTTCTCTTCTTGGCAAAAATTAGTAGATGTTTTCTAGTCCATTGAAACTAAGAATGAAGAAGAAAAAGAATGAGGGCAGAGAATGATAGAGGAAAGAGTAGCTGGAACAAAAAGGAACATCCAATTCTTGGCCAAGATTTACTATGTGGATTGTTTTTGACTATCCTGGAAAGGACTACCAGGCTGTGGGAGCCATTGGAAAACACCAGACTGTGGTTGGGTTGGCAAACCCAAAGCCATTGGCGGTCTGAGGCTCATTTAGGGAAAAGCATCTTTGTGGCTGGTGGGTTCCGAATCCTTGGCTTCTCCAGGCCTGGGAGTGGGCAATGACTTTTCTCCCTGAGAGCCTGGCTGTAGGAGGTCAGTCAGCCATATTAATACCTTAGGGGCTGGGGAGCAAGACAGAATATGGGTCTATCCCAGGTATACACTCTATGGCTGTCCATGCCAGCAGTACCCACTGTCTTCCTGACCAGGAGGGGCAACCCTGAGCCTCCAGGCTAATCAGACCCTGTCATTGCCCTCGGCACACAGAACTTTGAAATGCAACTGATTCCTGGACCCAGATTACCTCCCTTGCCATTAACCTGCTTTCAAGCTTGCTCTCTGGGGGAGGCAAGTGCCCAGGTATTCACAATGGGAACAAAAGATGGCCGGCAAGATGGAGGCCCTGCCATGGTTTTATGGTACGTTTGTGCAGTATGTGAAAAGTTGTCACCCAAGAAGTCAGTAAGTGGAACTATCAGTGGTCCTGATAATTCATGCAACAGCAGAAGCAGAATGTCACACATGCCTGGAATGTCCCAAGCACGTGACAGAAGGTGATTTTATGCAGAGCTCAGTTCACCCATAATCACTGGGGTACTAGCTGTCACTGAGCCACCAAGTCCTTTTGCTTGTGAGGTCTCATTAGCAGATTCCCATGGTGGGGACGGGGGTGGTCCTCTAGGAATAGAGACCTCCAGGGCACCGGAGGCCATCAGGAGTGCTACCTCATGGTGGGTAGGGCAGCCGTGGAGTGGAGGTTACTTCCTAGTCCCAAAGGTGAGCTGAGCACTAACTTTCGGTTGGATGCTAAACCATGATACAAACGGATGGGGGCTCCTGGAAGAGGGAGGAAAAAAAGGACCATTTTTCCAAAGGGCAAGAACTCAATAGCTCTTTTGCTCAGCCCAGCCCTGGGGCCCAAGGACAAACTTCAATGCCCAGATGTGCAGATGCCTGGTGACTGAGGGCAGAGCTCTGTAGTTATCTCCTGGGAAGGAAGGTTCCATCTGTCATTCACTCAGAAGAAGGCTCATGTCAGCCTTCTTGGGAGGTCTGAGGGTTGGGGGGCGGGGTGGTAAATAACACTGAGGCCTTTGAGTTTTCCTCCTTTCCTTTTCTAAACATCTCTCCTGGTGGCATGGCATTATGAAGTCGTTGGGTTAGTTCAATCCCTGCTGCACCTCGGAATCCCACCCTACTCTTGAGCTTCTTAAATGCACAGGCGCCTTTTATCTGGTGCATGTTCTTGTGGAGTAAACCTGGTCCCTGGACCTGGCCTTCTGTGCATTTTCACTGGAATGGTTAGAGGTGGCCCGTTCCCGTGGGATATGGTGGTGTTCCATGGAGTCTCAGGGTAGTTGTGTCTACTCTTTGGAGGAGAATGCTTCTCAGCTGAGCCACAGTGGTCTGGCTCAAACGATCCCTCTCACTAGAGGAGACCAAGACACACGTTCCTGGTTTTTGCCGCAGCCTCAGAGATGGTGTCCAAATACACTGTGGCTGCCACCATCCCGGTTGGCAGACAGCCCCGAGGGGCTCCGCTCCTCGAATCAGGCCTTTATTGAACATAATAGCCATGCTCAGAAGCCCATGTGCCAGGGGGGATAAGCAGGTGCGGGGGAGATTTGGGGGAGTCTTCTCCAGTTTCAGCCCCATAACTAACGCTAAGCAAAGTGACAGCTGCGTGTGTGAAAAAGCCCTGTGCACCACCGCACCCTCCCCATCCCTCCTTGGCTCTCAGGAAGAAAGGGAAGAGTATAGTATGTCCTAGCGCCCTGCGTTCTCACAACCGCCAGGATAGGAGGGCGCCTCCCCTAGGAAGACTAAGGCAAAACCAGAGAGCAGGAGGGGCCAAAGTCCTTATTAAGCCAAGACCATTCTCCCTCTCCTCCTCTTTTGCGTTTATTGATTTTCATTTTGTGAAGATGAGTGTTTTGCCTGCCTGCATGCGTGTGTATCACAGCCTGATGCTGCCAGAGGTTGGATGAGGGCGTCAGATCCCTTGGCACTGGGCTTACCCAAGGTTCTGAGCCATGAAATGTGTGCTGGGAACCAAACCTAGATTTTGGCGAGAGTAGCAAGTGCTCTTAACCACTAGCCTCCCTCTACAGCCTCATGGCCATTCGTGAGGTAACTGACGCCCTTCTGTGATAACAGCCTTACCTTTCAACACTGTTGGCTTAGAGATTAAGTTCTACCATAGTGGCCATTAAATCTATTAGGCCTGTTTGCAATTTCTAAGAGATTTTTATCTTCATATTTTTTCAATAGTCCCAAACTCTTCTCAATGGGTTTATTTTTTGAACTTGACTAAGTACCCAATTATTGATTTTTAAGATCTCTTTGTTGTCTCCCATTAGACCTACTCCTTTCTTTCTCTCTCATTCTCTCCCTCTCTCTCTCTCTGTCTCTCTGTCTCTGTCTCTGTCTCTCATGCTAGGGTCTTTCTTTAACTGTGTGGCGGCCCCTGTCATCCCTTCGCCTCTGGTAGGAAGACACGAGGAAGCCTCTGGTGAGATGGATCCAGCAGGCTTCCTTGTTGTAGGGTGGACCACCCGGGCCATTCCATGGCCTCCCTGCTCTCAGCACCCACACGTCTTTTCAGGCTGGTGTTCCTGGGGAGAGTTCTCTTGTGGCTTCTCTTTGCTTCCCCAGTCTTACTGGGTCCCTCTCCCTCTGGTGTCTCCGGGCCACGGCCCCTGGTTCGTTCCCTCTCTTCTGCTGACACTTGGGAGGGGGTTCCGAGGCTGGGAAGAGCCCTGGCGGGGTCCAGCTGCCTCCAACAGAGATTGTGGAGCCCACAGCCTCCTGGGCCTGTGCTTCCCAAGCCTTGGCGGCCCTACCGGAGAATGAGACTCTTTCCAGGCCTCTGCCAACCTTGGTTCTTTTGTCTGGAGTCACTCAGTTCTCTTTCCCAGGTCACTCTTCGGTCTTCTTCCATCCTTCTGCTTTGCAGCCTCTCCAGACTCCACCTTTGGGAAGAGTTTTTAAATCTATTCAAGTAGAATTCCTGGAAGTTAAGTGTTCTGTGTGTGCCTGGAAGGCTCCCTCACGTGACTGTTCACCTTAGCTTCCCCCTCCGTCTGTCTTGCTGGCTGACATGGTCAGGAAGGTTCCCCGTGGTGAGAAAGGACCAAGGGTCAAAGTCAGGGGGAGGCAGCTGGGGCTCGGCTGTCTCCCGTGGGTCAGGAGTGAGGTTTTGTAAGGGACGGTGTCCAGAACGGAGCTGGTAGGCCAGGTCCTGTGGGGGCCAGAAACTGGAGAGCCGATTGCCCAACCCAAAGCCGAGGCCCACCCGAGCAGCCGGTTTATCTCATCAATGCCCACTTTGCCTTTCAGACTTGGGCCTGTCCCCACACCTCACGGCTCTCATGGCCGGCGGACAGTCCCTGGGACACAGCAGCAGCACGGGAGACACGGGCTTCAGCTACTCCCAGGATTCAGGTACTGTTCCCACTCTGAAATCCTCTCACTCAGTGTAACTTTGCGGTGTTGCTTGCTGCTGGGAGGCTCACCGCTGTCCAAGGACTGCCGGAAAGAGCGTGGTGGAGGGGTAAGGTGTGGGAGCTGGGTTTCTCACATGGCTCTGAGTCTTTAAGTTTTCCTGTGCCTCTGTTTTCCCCTCTGCTAAATGGGCCTCTCGGTGCCTTCTCTCCCTACCATGTGGTATCATGGTGAGGTTCAAAGTACAGTAAAGCCTTTGAAAAGTTCAAATTTAAGCCAGGCACGGTGGCACACACCTACAGTCCCAGCGCTTGGGAGGCAGAGGCAGGCGGATCTCTGTGAGTTCGAGGCCAGCCTGGTCTACAGAGTGAGTTCCAGGACAGCCAAGGCTACACAGAGAAACCCTGTCTCAAAAAACCACCATCACCCCCCTCCCAAAAAATAGAAAAGAAAGTAAAAATTTGAAGAACTTATGCTTTATACTACTTATCCTATAACTGACTGGCCAGGCCCTGGCGTCCATCTGCCTGGTTCTTGGCCTCCTTCCTGTAGTCGGCTTCCTGATGTTAGGGCCAGCTCCTTGGACTTGTGGGAGCCATGGCAGCTGGATCCCATGTTTGTTGAGTGGTCCTGGGCGGGAGCAAACATGGTCGGAGGCAGGAAGCGTCTCTGCATCCACTCAGTTCATGGATTTCTGTTGGAGAACTGAGACACCCAGCCACATCTGCGGCTGATGCTGTGGGCCTCGGAGGGAGTGGTACCCGGTCCCCAAACCAGCAGCCAGCGCTGCCTTCCACCCCAGCTCTTCTGTCTCTGCAGCCCCGGGAGCGTTTGTCTGTTTGGTTGTGAACCTTTCAGAGCGGAGCCCTCTCTCCGGCCCCCACTGGTGGGAGCTTTGGAAAGGTCCCCTTGGGCTGTGGAGAAAGAGCGGTTGGTGAAGTCGGGGGCCAAGTGGGGCTCCGTGAGCGAGTGGCAGGGGCCAGGGCTCTTCTGCCTGAGTGTGGGGAGACAGCCTGGGGAGTAACAGAGGCCAGCCTTTCCCTCCAGCCACAGAAGGGGGATTCAGGTCAGTTCCGAGACGCCAGGTGATGGGCAGGCTGCCAGAAGAAGGGCACAGCCTCGGAGAAGACAGAATTTTCTCGACGGATGGTGCCAACCCTCTCCCACCAAGCGTTCCAGGACACAGTGTCCTAAGGCGATGGGTGGAGGGGACACCTTGGGTTCCCTGGGTGTTGTTCCTCAGGTGCCGCCCACCTTTTTCTTTCTTCCTTTTTTTTTCTTTTTTGACAGTAGGTTAGATTATCTGGTCAGCTGATGCTGTGGCAAGCCCACTGCTGTCTGAACCCCTGGGATGGGTGACACACAGCCTGTTTCTCTCTCAGACAGCTGCTTCAGGACAGTCAGCGGAACCTGCTCCTGGGACGGAAAGGCTGGCAGTCAGGGTCACGAGGCACTGGGGGGGGAGGGGCAGGGGGAAGAGGCCGTGGTGTCTGGAGCTACATGTGTGCCGTCTGTCCTTCGCTTTAGGGACAGACGTGATGCTGCTGGAAGACTGCGCTTCTGACGACAACCCTGCCCCCCACTGCACGTGCCCACCCAAGAGAAGGAGCTCCGTGACGTTTGAGGACGAAGTAGAACAGATCAAAGGTTGGTCTGTGGGACTGCTTCAGTAAAAACGCGTGGGCCGGGAGGGGATCCTAGCCACGGCTTTCCCACAGAGCACGCCAAGGCGTTGTCACCTCTGCCTCCTTCTGATTACTGCAGCTCTATTGGTGCCACTGGAAGCTTGACTTCCAAGGCGTCTGACTCAGAGCACACAGCATCTAAGGTGGGGCAAATGCAGCTGTAGACACACACACACACACACACACACACACACACA